AGAGAGAGAGAGAGAGAGAGAGAGAGCGCCAGAGAGAGAGAGAGAAAGAGAGCCCAGTTTGATTGGGTGAATTTTGACTCGGCTTGAGTCGACTTGGGCCCAGTTGACTCGCCAAGTTTATATAATTAAAGGATGCTCTCTTCCTTTCTCCATCTCATAGTCATCCTTTATTTTCTTGTCTCCATTGGTTCAAATTGCGTTGTTTCAGTTATGAATTTCTTGTTCTGTCTTGTTCAACATATTGTTTTAACACCATCTTTAAGAGGCGGATTTGATTTCGAAGTATGATATGTTCACTTCATTGAATGATTTCTTAGTAAATGATCACTATTTTGTTCAGGATGCTCCATACAAATTTTACATACGTTTGATTTGTGTTTTCCCAAACTAAAATGTTATTATGCTATCTAAGGTGCACTGCGAGAGTGTTACTGATGGAAGTAAGTCACAAATCATTGAGCCTTGGAGCTTTACCGTTCCATATGATAAGCTAGTTATCGCATCAGGTGCCGAGGCCTCCACATTTGGTATAAAAGGTGTGAAAGAGCATTCTATATTTCTCCGTGAAGTTTCTCATGCTCAAGAGATCCGCAGGAAGCTTCTCCTAAATCTGATGCTTTCTGATGCGCCTGGTATGTTCAACTTACTTTAATATATTGAAGGTAATTCATGGTAATTCATGCTCTGTATGGTTTAAAGCAATTAAAACCTTTTCTCAATTATTCCTTGCTTTTTGATGTGGAAAATATGCTAGCCTCTCGTATTTTATAAATGCAAGAACATACTATGACTTAGGGAAGTCGATTGTGATGATAGCTTCCTAGAGCTCAGTAAACTACCAAAGATAATGTCAATTGCTGAAATTACTCGAAACTAAAATCTATTTTCAATATGTTTGGAACAGATACTGAGCTTCAATAACGTTCAATTTTTTCTCAAACTGAGTTGCTTGATCTGCTTTACTATGAAATAACCCTGCAACTGAGAGCTAAGCATGGGGTCCTTTAAATTATTCTTATTATACCTGTACTACATTTTTAAATGACTCATATTGAAGGGGATTGAGTGGACCTTGGGTTTATGATGTATGTCTATAGTGTGTGATATGTGAATAATTTTCTAATATGAAAGATATTGCAAGGTATTGTTCCTTATGCATTAAACTTCATATTTTGTTTCCTAATTTTTAATTACATTATTAGTAAACCAAAAATTTGAATGTATTCAAAATGAACATAATGATTGAGTGGCTTCGTCTGTTTTAGATGCAGTTATTCTGATGCAACCTTGCCTCTAGAGTTTCAACTTTGTTTTCTATGCATTGGAATTATCATTTCTCATTTGGGGAATGAGTTTGCTTCAGGCAAATCCCTGGCTCAGTTTGCTGCTTGGATATCCTAGTGGTACATCATTACCATGGATTCTTTTGCCCTTACTCATAAACCGTCACAAAGTTCTGTCTCATCCAAATATATCAATTATGAACTTGATGGGCAAAAAAAAACACTTCTCTTTGCACAGTATATCAAATTTGGCCCTAACATGCAAAATTATCGAATCTGTCCTTGGACATTGCTCGAATAAACTATCATCAGCACAATATGGCACAAAATCTATACTAGAAAAAGATTTGTGGACCTCCGCCTACTGTACATCAATGCACAAGATCAAGACTTCATCCTCTCTCTCTCTCTCTCTCACTCACTCACTCACTCACTCACTCACTCACTATCTTCCCATTCTTTCCTTTTGACCTTTCACCTTTTTAAAATTTATTCTTTTCATTTCCCTGTCTTTTTTTGTATTTTATTCATGTATATTTTATTTTTTGCTATGACTGTTCATAAAATTAAAAGCCATCTGAAATAGGAGTTACCTACTAGCAGTGAGGCGGAAGTATGGGAGCTGGACAAAATGCACAACTATTGGCTTCCTGAGATTGAAACATTGGACCAATATTTACGATCATCAAATACAAGACACATTTGCCCAAAGCTTATCCATTGAACTTGTAGCAAAACAAATACTATTTCTACCTAGTAGATAAGAACTGAAGAAGTTCCTTTCTTGAAAGATCATGATTGGCTAACTTCATGGCACGTTCTTGTTTTGTTGCAACTTTACTTAAATTAGTAAATTATAAAATACAAATATTGCCTGGATATAGCCATTAAAAATGACAATTGATATATTATTATTTGATGGGTAAGTGAAGGGCAGATTGATGCATGAGTTGTCCAGTGTTACGAATTTCGAAAATTCCCACACACATGCCCACATGATCATTATTTGTTAATATTGCGAATATTATAGTTATTAAACCATTGATTTATACTACGTTTTACCGGGATCTTATTCGTCTGTGTTGTTGATTTACCTCCATAATATTTTTTTAACAGATGCCATTTATGCTCAAAATTTTAGTTGAGTATGTTAATGCATACTTCTTTCCATGTGATATCAGGAATATCAGAGGCAGAAAAGAGTAGACTTCTACACTTCGTTGTAGTTGGAGGTGGGCCTACTGGTGTTGAATTCAGTGGTGAACTTAGTGATTTCATCATCAGGGATGTGCATGAGAGATACTCTCATGTTAAAGAGAACATCCGTGTGACTTTAATTGAGGTGTTCTTATAACAAATCCATATTATGTGTTTACGAGATTATTCTTCATCAAGTCAATCATGCTTCATGCTTCGTTTACTCCATAACTGTTTATATTGCCGGCAATCAGTATGTTGAAAGATATCACATAATTGCTTTGAGTGATCTATGTGTAGTTACCCATATAAAATGAGCCTCCTGCAATATCACAATAAGGATGGGTATTTCCTTGCAATGGCAGGCAAATGAAATTTTATCCTCCTTTGACGATCGACTAAGACAATACGCTACAAGGCACTTAACTAAGGTGAGAAGTGTTTTACTGCACACATAAAGTGAGCTACCTTGCACTAAATCATTATCTTAAAAGATAATGTACTTGTGACAAATGGTAAGCTACAGTTTGCATTGCTCCATGTGATTTGTTTTTCATTTTGATCTTCACCATATCATTTGTAATTTTACAAAGTTCCATTCATGGGATTAAAGTGAGCTGCCTTGCACTAAATCATTATCTTAAAAGATAATGTACTTGTGACAAATGTTAAGCTACAGTTTGTATTGCTCCATGCGATTTGTTTTTCATTTTGATCTTCATCATATCATTTATAATTTACCTAGTTACATTCATGGGATTATATCTCTTGGATATATTTTTTTTTATGTTGCCCAGGGCATGGAAAATTGTTTATAAATTATTATGATAACATTTCCTAAATTTAATCCATTAAAGGGAAAAATTGTGATTGTATTTGTTATACTTGTCAATATGACATATTGATGTTTTTCTTTTATTTGTAGCCATAAAGCAATAAAATATAGTATGTGAGCTTTTTTGCAATTTAAGAAAAATTGTCAATACTATCCATCTATCTGAACTTGTGACAAGATGTGTTATTATTTTGATCTTAGGACCATGCGACATTAACATCCTGTTTGAAGTGGGCTCATGTATGCATGTAAACAGTATATGTATTTATGTTTGTAATATGTATTATGTGGGTACAAAAGTATGCAAATATAGGGGCCATTTATTACATATATACAGATGCGCGCAGATGTATTTGTATAATCTTTCTTCATTGTTATGCCCTGTTTATATGCAGTTTTACATATACATTGACATGCATGTGTGGTTTTATACACAGCCATCAACATCATGTTGTTTAAAGGACGAGGTTAGCATGCGGCCATGCCCGCACATGTAGAAATGCAGGCTTAGCAATAAATATATTTTTAAATATAATTTGATCATAAGTTTTAGAGAATATATAATATTTAACATGGAGATCATGAATATGAAAAAAGAAGAAAAAAATTTGAAACCTAGAAATAATAGTTAGATTAAGAAAAGATTTGGACTGTTAATTAAAATTGCTTTTAGATGGACCACCTATTTGCATCCATCTTTAAGATGGATGCTTTATACCTCTGGATCGCATATTGTAGAAATGCAGTCCAGCCCACATGGAACAATTGTTCTTGTTTGATTGGGTCTCTTTTGATTTGTATTTGCTATTTTATTTCAGTCGGGGGTCCGACTTGTTCGTGGAGTTGTAAAAGATGTACATCCTCAAAAGATCATTTTAAGTGATGGCACAGAGGTTCCCTATGGACTGCTAGTATGGTCCACTGGTGTTGGCCCCTCTTCTTTTATAAATTCTTTGCAATTTCCAAAGTCCTCTGGTGGAAGGTATACAGTTATTTTGATGATGCGCTCCCTTGATTTATAAATGTTCTTTTTGAAGTGGAACTTACAGAAGAAAAGTAAATAATAGTGCAGTTGTGGCTTGTATGAACGCACATGTACATTGGCATGCTTATGTGCCTCAAAAATTTCTCACATCTTGCAGAATAGGTGTGGATGAATGGTTACGTGTTCCTTCAGTACAGGATGTCTTCTCCATTGGTGATTGCTCAGGATTTCTTGAAAGTACTGGCAAACCGGCGCTCCCAGCTTTGGCCCAGGTTAGACAGCTAAACATCTGACACATTAAAAAGAGAATATTATTTATTAGCATTTTGACATGAAGTGCATGATATGGTGATTAACAAGATCTTGAGATTAAGATATACCTATTATTCGTCTAAATCATTTGGAACTGAACTTCAGGTGAAATTTAGTGGAAGTTTATTTCACAACCATCACTATACTTCTATCAACTTTGTATTTGTCTTCTTTGTGCCAGATGAACTGAGTTGAGATGTTCCTTTTCATTTAGAATGTACGTACTGTGGCACTTTCATTTGCTTCATGTTCTGCAATTTTATTGCCGCCAAATTAGTTTACTGGATGTTAATTGAATCTTAGTATGGTTGCCAAAATCCCTAACTGCCTTTTATATCTGAATAATTCTTGAAAGTTTGGGTTCGCAAATTTGAAATCATCCTACTTATTGATAGCCACCACATTGCTTGGGATCAGTGTTTAGAAAATCTCTCCCTTCACCTAGGACTATGGCGAGTTACTTGGTCTCAGCAGGCTGTCGAGAGACCTTAAGAGGGTAGGTATATATAGTGTTACATGGACATCAACACAGGTTTGGTTTCTATAAGTGTCATAGGTGTCTTTTATGTCGACATAAAAAGGTGATATGGCTAGAGACATTTGTGCATTTATTTTTCATAAATAAAATACTATATTTTATCTATTATATGATATATTTCTTCATTTATGTTATCTAAAAAGCACATGTAGTAGTGATAGAAATCACAGAATGAGTCCAAGATGTGCAAAGCTCGAGGCCTCCCATGTGATTTCATATTCAATTTTTGGATATTTAATATACTACCATGTGTCGCCCACAAGTCGACACGTGTTGACATGGGACACAAGGCCGAAGGCCTCCTGTCGCGGTAGCACTACATATATGTACCCGGTACAGTACTGTACAAACTCAGACATATTCGGGCGATTACTACAGAAACTCTGACTGGCTCACCCATTTGTGTACAGTACTTGGGCGAGTCAATACAGTACTCACCTGAGTATTGCTGGACTTCTCAGTTTAAAAGGGGACGTGGAAATCCACCCACCTTTTTTCTTCATTTTCTTGGATTGAAGGCCCTAAGATGTGCATTTCGTGCTGAAATTTAGACTTTAGCATGACTTTCCCATGATATATATATATATATATATATATATATATATAA